TCTTTCTGAGAAACCTTTGAATCTTTGCCCAGAACTGCACAGCATGTCAGGCAGTTGCCTAGACATTCAGACTTAATTCCATTTCCACTGTAAGGTTCCACATATTTATAAGACAAATAAAAAAAAAAAAAAAAAAAAAAAAAAAAAAAAAAAAGAAGAAGGAAAAAAAAAGGAGAAGAAACTTTCTAAGACAACAAAGGTGCTCAAACAGTCATAAAAATCATATGCCCTGATGTTACCTTACACACAGCCAGGACTACTGGAAGGGGAGACACTATCGAGCACACAGATCCCTAAGCCATATCACAATGGTTCTGAAAAAGACCACTTTTTTTATTGCATCGCTCTCTCCCATAGGCCAGAATTTTTATTTTCAGAGATGGCAAGAAGCTCATTTTATAAAACCAAATGTAATTAAAATTTTGCCCTGATTCGACTAGTGGTGGTAAGCAGCCACCTGCACAGTGTAAGCCTCTAATTTAGAAAGGGTAAACCAGAATCAGATTTGCCTTACCTGAAGCACGTGAGAGATGAAGCTTTGAATCCTTTTGCTGGAACTTGTAGGCAGATACATAACAACAGCAAAATATACCAAGCTGAAAAGTTGAACATTATTGCACATTTTTTGAATGGCACAATGATCTCTAAACATCTGGAGGATACACCCTCCCCCCCATTAACTGTATCTGCTTTTTGTATAAAGCTATTCTTTGATTGTAAGATAAAAATAATTAGTTCTTACAAATTGCCCAGTGCAATAGAACCTAAACTTTGGTAATAGCTGCATAGATAAAGGAAAATTCTGTAAGTTTTTATGAAAAATAAACACATACAGGCCAGTCCATTGAGCTCACTCAGAATGGAAAGATCCGTTTCTTTTCTGGGAAGAATCAGGTCTCCCTGCTGGGAATGCAACCTGTGCATTAATGGAAATAGTTCGGAGAGATAGCAGGCTGTGGACTACAAGAAGGATGGCTTGACCTTGAAATACAGATTGGTTGATGTTGGAATGGATCTCTGAAGGTCACCTGTTTGAACATCCCTGCTCAAGCAGGTTCATCTAGAGATGGTTGCCTAAGACTGTGCGGAGTCAGCTTTTAAATATCTCCAAGGGCAGAGACTCCACCACTTCTCTGGACAACCTGTGTCAGTGTTCAGTCATTCTCATAGTGAAAAATTGCTTCCCTGTGTTTCAGTTTGTGCCCACTGTGTGTTGTCCTGTCACTGAGCACTGCTGAAAAGAGCTTGGCTCCATGCTTTTTACACCTTCCCTGCAGGTATGTATATACATTGATAAGATCCCCCTGAGCCTTCTCTTCTCTAGGTTAAACAGTCCCAGCTCTAAACTGACCTGGGATATTGGTTGTCAGGCAAGATCTCATCAGCCAGTCACTGTGAGAAAAATGACATCCTGGATTTTTTGACTCCGAGATCATAATGGAAAAAAGGGCTTTTTTGTTCTAGTCTAGGGAACTTAAAATACTATAGTCAACTAGATTATTAAACACTGTGCAGTCTGTACTATGTTGATGTAATATCTTATTACATATTTCTGGAGATATCTCTCCCCAAGGGGTAAACATCTCTCTTGGACTAGCTGAAAGAGCCAGTGTGAAAAACACTGAGGCTGAAGCCAGGACTTGTCCTTGGAGTAGGGGAGCTAGAGAGAGGCCTATTTTCTTGCTTTAAGGGATTGATTTCCTGGGAAACTGTATAAAGGTCAGAAGCACGTTATGCTCTATGTAATTGGGAAAAAGCCTCTGGACACTGATGTTACATAAATATTTACAGCTACCACTGCTAACCAAACCTGTTCCCAGCCCCTGGTCCTCCTAAGGAAAAAAAACAGGATAATAAGGAAGCATTAACATGTGAAGAATAAGAGCAGCGAAAGTCTTACCCGAAATCACTAATGGAAACTGCACACTTATCTGAGCAGGAAGAGACATTATATTTTAAAAAATAATCAAGGAGCATCTGTAATTTTCCAATGCAGACTACATAAGACTGCAAGAGAGCTGTGACAAGAATGATAACAGCACCATGCTTTTGTTTTCTTTATTTTACCCTTGAGCAGATAACCTTTCATATTTTGGTAGAGTAGACAAATCAGTGATGATGTTTTTGTGATGTTGCAAAACTCCACTTTCCTCTCATCCCTCTAAGGAACAAATTCATCCACGTCATTAACCACAACACAGCTTTATAAAGAACAGAAAGACTAGAGGCACAGCAGTTTGTGGGGACTCAGATATGATAATATCTATTGTCCATATCAAAAGCTAGCTGAGGAATTGTCATTAAGGATATTCATAAATGACAACATGATTATCTGGTGTCAGAGATCCCAGGCAGAGATGGTATTTGACTCACTTATTTTATATTTCTGGGTGATCCAGGACCCAAACAGGCAACTCACAGCTCTGGAGTTGCGTGTGGCTCGCAAGCAGCTCAGACATGCCACCTGTAAGCATGCTGTATCATACAGTCAGTGGCAGGACTGCTGGTGGTGAGCTGCTGGGTAATACAACAGCACAGCTGCGGAAGGAAGTGAATCAGCAAGGATTGCTGGGGCAGATACTGAGTCACCTCGAGACCCAGCCATATACTTCAGTTTGTGAACAAACCTTGACACACAATGGAAACACTGAGATCCATGAAGAATTACTGTTTTCCTTTTTTTCAGGACTACTAGAGTTCCTCTTCCTTTTAGCTCTCAGAAGTGTACATTAGCTGTCCTAAGGCATGTGACTCTATTTACACTTCAGTGGGACCAAGGAGCCCAAACCTCTAAGACACTTTTGAAAACCTCATCCACATACTACAAATACATAGGAATAATAAGCAGATGTGATTAAGATAATAGGCATTTAAATTGAAAAGAAGAAACTCTTCTCAGGTTAAACCTTCTCATCAAACAGCAGAGCTGGTAGAAATCCTCAGAGCCTGTGACACTTCAAGATAAAGTTGAAATATACTCGGAACACCTGCTGTCTATTCCTACCATCTAGTCATCCAAGTTTTACGATAAAGTTACAGTTATTAAGTTTTGCACCTGCAAAGAATATGCATAAAAGGGTATTACATTTTATGTTGTGGAATTGTGATTCACTCAGGTTTAAAGAAATACATTTTGGTGTTATTATAGCCCAGTCCATTACAAACAGTAGTAAAACTTGCATTGCATATACATCAGTGAAAATAAACAAGACAAAACATATATGAAACAGAAAAATGGATGCTAAAGGTTGTTAAAGAAATTACCCAATCTTCAAAAAATTTAGATGTATTAATTTTGCATCAATTTCCCAACTATGACCTGAGATTTCCACTACCTCTTTTTCTTATCTCTGCTGCATATTGAAACAGTATTTGAGAGAATATTTATTATGATGGAGTTGGCAAAAGGGTGATGACAAAAAGGGTGACAAATGGCAGACTAGATTTCATCCAGCAGATTCCTTCACTGCATTTTCTTCTGTAATCAGTACCACCACATATCAACACTCAGACTGGCCTACTCTGGCAATACTTTTTTCATTATATGTGTTTCAGAACTTGCATTCCTGAAGACTGTAAACTTTTCACTCACTGCATTTCTGCAAATCCAGCTATGGATATTTATAACTCCTGAGCGCCTCCTCAAAAGACCATGTCTTCAGTCTTTTCTCCACCATCCATATGAAATCTTGATCCAGGGCAGAAGCTGAAGGCTTACCCAAATGCCTTCTTCCAGTTTACTGCTATGGTCAAGCTTTCAAACTTAATGGTCTAAGATGCAAGTAGCAGTACAGGAATAAGAAAATTAGAAATTAGATATGGGTACATAAATGGAAGCAGGAATTTTACTCCCTTGGGTCTTTGTTTACTCCCTTGGGTCTTTATAAATGGCATAATGTATCAAATGATTTTGTAGAATTTAATGGAATTGGGAAAAGAAACAATCCCACAAAGCAACACAAACCAGTTTTGTTTCATAATTGACGCAAAGGCCAAATTCTGCAGAATATGGCACTCTGCAGATAAAAAGATAGTTGTGCTTATATAAAAGATGTTAGCTAGAACAGACAGACTATTCATTTGTGACATGAGAAGTTCATCAGAATAACATTTCTTGATCACAGTTGAAGACACTTCAGTCTGTTTCTAGATTAAAGTTGCCCTTGTTAGCATTGGCCATGGGATAATGACCACAGGCGTTTAAACTGACTCTGTTCCTCCTTTTCTAGTTTCTAAAATGTGGAAAAATGAAAATCTATCTAAATGAACTGTCCCATTCAGCTGATGACATTTGGTCTACATAGTACTTCATAAAGGATGAGCCTATGTAAGTTCTGGAATAAGGAACAGCGTAACTACCTAGTATCTTTTTAATATTAGTGGACCTCTGATGTAGAAATTTATTAAAAAAATGGAATGACATTTCTATTAAGCACCTGTCCAAGCTCTGCCTCATTGCCATCCATGTACTAATGATCAGAGAGCAAAAGCATGTTACCACCTTTGGCAAGCACAAGCATATATATAGGTGATGAAGCACATTTGTAATGACTGTCAAGTGGTTTTAAATAGTACACTTTTCATTAACTCTTTTAGCAACATGTAATTTGTTTCCTGCATTAAGTGGCACTTTCTTTTCCAGTTGTGGTGTTTGCAGAATGCCATATTTATAATTAGGGACTACAAGAACTTTGCATGTAAAGAAGAGGACAACAGCTAGTGTTGTATATGGATGTCAAAGTTTGCTTCATATATTGAGGTGGGAGGTTGGGCAGTATCTCTGTAAATCTATTTTTGGCTAAGAGTCCCATTGGAAATTCTTGGTGGTGCTGCAAATGAAACATTTTGTTGTCATCACTCTATTCAGAATAGAAGCATTTCAAGCTCAATAAGCAAGATTTCACCCCATATGAACATCAGGGCAGTTCTGTTCCCAAATATCTGAGTGGTGCATCTCTGGTGCACTAAAACCTAAGAGACACCAAGGGTATGATTCTTCCCTAGATTGCTTCTGCAGGAGCTGCGTAGGTGTGAGGTTCATCTGGTCCTTTCATTTTTGTGTCTTTGTCATTGCAGATCTCCACATCATGAAGTACTGTCGTACTATTTCTGTTGCCATCCATTAACTCTTTTGCCGTGCTCTTGTTGCACTGACAGAAGTCACTGGAGCTCTCTAGAAAGTTGATGCAAAGTTTGATAACCAGTGCTAACCAGGCCATCCCAAAGAGGATCCACAGAGAGATTACATTCTTGTACCAGCCTGGGTAGGTACGGTCTGGGTTCATCCCTACAAGAGAATCACCCAAAACATTTCTAGTGCCTCAAAGGAGACAGATATTACATATAAAGCAAAGACAGTGGAAATATGACCTAGTATTAGTGATTTCTGTATAAAACATGAGTATGCCATCTCTTTAGCATGTGAACAGATGATGCAAGCATGTTTCATGACATGTCAACAACAGCCTAGAACTGCTTAGGAATTGTGAAGATTACCCATAAGAAAGAAAAATAAATCCCAGATTACATCTGTGTCAAAGTGAAATTATTCACAATTAAGCACAGTTTCATTTCCCTACTTACCACTCATCATCGTAATACTGTATTAGTATGTAACAGAGGTCCCCTTCACGCAGAGCGCTAAGTGGGTTTTATGTACCAGTGTATGTATGTATTTGTTAAGCCAGGTATAAGCAAGTCTTTAAGAGCAAGAAGGAAGGGGGATGAGCAGTCCCAAAACCTCCAAGAACAATTAAGCCTTGGAGGACAGCCTGAAATTATGCTACCCCTGCCTGGTTGCTCAGTTAGGTACTTTGTGATCCCTTTGGAGCAGAATAATATTTTTGGTCATGTTTCCACAACGTTTTGTACAAAGAAGCTTCCATGTGCTAAGTTCGTGTGAGTAATAATATTAATACAGGCAAAGCAAAGGAATGAGCTCAGCCTTATGAAGTGACTGGGCTGTATCTGTAAAGGAGGCTGGGGTACCCTTACAAACACACATAAGATACAGGATACAAATCAGTGGCAGCAGAGCCTTTGCATGGGATTTTCCTCTACTGCCTCTCAGGTATCATTATTTAGTTTTCCTTACCTTTTGAAGGTTTGTCATTTTATAGCTGAATACCTACAGCACAGCAGATATCACAGAACACCTGATACTTTTGGGACACAGTGGGAGGAGTTGACTTTTTTGAGGTGGTACCTCCATGAACCTGGAAGCCACTTCCCTACCACATTCCAATGAAAAAGTACGCATAGGGCTGGGTTGAAATGGGGTATCCATAAAGGCTGGCATTTAGGTATTTATCATCTGTAGGAATATTCTCCTGCCATTACCTGCACAGACTAGCCATTCCTAAATTTTGCTACATGAACTATTATTGTCTACAAGATTGTGATAAGTAGTAACTGGTCAGCAGAGCCATATTAAACAGCCAATAATTTACAGCCATTTACTTGGTAATATTATATATAATAGAATACATATGGTATGTGTTTTCAATATAATGGGAGCACAAGACATTTTGAGGTTATCAGTAAACCACAGATAAATGTCTGGGAGCTACCAAATACTTCTGCAGTAACTACTCTTTGGGCTGACTTTCTACATCAAGGTGAACTTCAACCAGAAAAAGTATACTCATCCTTCAAACAAGCACCTTTCATTGATACTACAATTCAAAGGTTTTAAAATTGTTTGTTTCTAAATAATAATGAAAACAAGAAAGAAGGGCTATCTGGGGCTTTCAAGGAGAATGCTTTATCTACAGAGACTGATAGGTGCAAGTCTTGTCATAAGATGTTTTAGTCTTTTTGTCTCCCAGGGATTCAATGGTGCATGTGTTTCTATAATCAATTTGTTTTTAATGAGAAAGTCTTTATCAGAAAGGTGTGTCCTGTGTTTCAGCAAATGCATCGGGCGTGGGTCCAAACCCATTTCCTCTGGCAAAGGGTTTTGGCAACTAAAACTAGGCTGCGCCTGGTGCCTGACAGTCTACACCTAAGTGACTTAAGCTGCCTTTAGAAAGCAGCTGTTTGGGGTTTTAACAGAGGAAACAGTCACTGTCTGCTAATGGTGATGCAGAGTAGCATCTGTTTAAAACTAATCGCTGCTGACACTGGAGCACACCAAGTGCACCATCAGCGACTGCTGCTGTAAAAAAATGTAGCGATCCAGTCTGGTGTTAGAGTTGTTCAAGTGGCAGATAACCTGAATACTGAAATATTACTCATTGACTGGGAAATTATTTCTTTGCTCTTCTACAGGTGGCGTTGCTATCTCAGCAATCATGTCTTCTCCAACCTGTCAAATGCCTACCGCAACACATTTATCATTTACTGAGATTTACCTTTACTGTAAGGGTGGTGAGGCACTGCAACAAATTGCCCAAAGAAGTGATGAATGCTCCATCCCTGGCAGTGTTCAAGGCCAGGCTGGACAGAGCCTTGGGTTATGTGGTCTAGTGTAAGGAGTCCCTGCCCATTTTAAGGTCCTTTCCAACCCAAACCATTCTATGATTCTGTGATCATCAGGTCTGTGGATTGCTAGTGATGTAAAACTGCCAAGCTGGGAGCTTCACATGGCACACATGTGGCTTTGATGTTTAGTAGGTGAAAGCAATGAAATGCAAACTACTCACCAATCACATAATCTCCAAACCCTATAGTGCTGAGGGTAATGAAGGAATAGTAGAAGCCTTCTTCATAAGACCAGCCTTCCTTGTCAGAGAGCAACAAGGGAGGCAGCAGGAGGAACAATAACAAGCCAGTCACCAGCGCACAGGTCTTAATCAGCAGGGAAGCTTTTTTCTAGTAAAACAGGAAGGAAAAAAGAAAAGAGAAAAAGGATGATACTGTCACAATAAGGGTGTCAGAGAAAGTCCAGCTCAGTTTCTGGATGAAGATGATGCTGGACTCCATAAAAACACACAGACATTCATGATGTTCCACTAGAATAAACAGTGTGGCTCTTCCAGTCAACATGAACTGCACATCACCTTAATGAGTCCTAAATTCATGCCAGTTTAAAACCTATTTCACAAACATTCCCATATAACTTACATGCGCAATTCTAACTATGGCTGATGATAAACAGACCAGATATTCTGGTCTATTGCACGGCTCTAGGGCTCTGGCACTTCTGTTCCTGTAGGGGAAGCCATTCATCATAGAAGTTCCCTCAATTAATAAACAACCTTATCTGACACATCATAGAGCTGTCATAAACTAAATTTATCTGCTTCCAGTTATTCCTGAGTATTACTGCCTTTTTGGCCAAATAGGTAGGCAGCTATCCTTGTTAGTCACAGAATCCCAAATAGCAGACAATGCTTTTTCTGTCTTTTCTTTCCTGAACCTGAGGGTGAGGCATACTTGTCTACATTGCTTACCTGCCAGTGAAATACCTCTTCTAGGCGATGGGCACAATGCTGAACCCCCAACAGCATGAGTTGCCCAATTTCATTCAGGATTACAAGATTCAAGGGGATCCCAAAGAGTGCAAACAAGATGCAGAAGATACGACCAGCCACAGTGCTGGGACTCAGGTTCCCATAGCCTAGGCAGGAAAAGAATGAGGAGTTAAAGCTAAAATATTCTCTGCTTGCCCTTCTCTCCCAGAAGGGTGAACCTCTATCTTCTACAAAAGTTAGAGAAGGTCACTGCTCCAAAAAGGACCTTTTTTTGTAAATAACTAAGTTTGCCATTGTTTGCCATATCCTATTGCAGGTTGGAAAACAACATTTCTTTCCCTGCCAATTTTGCTTAGTTCCTTTTCCATTTACCAGTCAATTTCCTCTTCCCTACCCACTGTCCTGGCTGGGGTCTGACGTAAATGCAAAACTTCCGCTGAGTTCAGTTTTTGTAAGCATTGTTGGCATGGGGTTTGCTGGTAAATGATCCTGCATGGCTGTCAGATGGTCTCTGAATCACAACAATAGTGTTTTAATTATAACAACCACCTTTTTCTACCTTTGTCCCACAAAACTAACAAACTTTACACTGCTTCTTTGCTTATACTCCTCTTTTGTGTCACAAGTACAAATACACCTTAAGCTTAAATTGTCAAAATGTTTGCCTAGAGTCAATAAACCCAGAGAAATTATATTTCACCTGAGGAAAACACTTTGATCTCAGACCTATAGAAGGAAAGAAAAAAAAGTGCTTGAAATGTTGCCCTTTTTCTCCTAATCACATGAACTGGTCTAATAAAAGCACTGTCCTGCAAGCACAGCCTTGCTTGTATCCTTAGACCATCATACCTTCAACATCGCTGCAGCAATATTTGTCTTTGTTCCCGACATCTTCTTTTAAAAATGTCCTGTAAATCTGCAGACCTGCACTTCTGTAATTTCAAGTGGTTTATACCACCAGAAAATCAGATTCAACTTTGGTCTATTTCACAGGACCCTTTTTAAGACAGGGAAAGGACTAGCACATGACAGGCATTTCAACAGAGACTAAGCCAGAGACCCATGGCTTTGACTGCATTTCAAAATCACCTTCACTCATTAGAGATTTGTGTGTGTTCATATACAAGGCTGACAATCTGGCAGAGTTTATCTTTCCACTACAAATAATCTATCCCCTCCCAGTGACACCCAACTGTTGGTTCCGTGCAAGCGCAGAGGTGCTCCCACCACTGACACCTCCTTACCATGCTTGCAGGTGCTGTAGCCCCAGGGCAAATAAGCAGCCCCCAGGAGGGAGAGGTCCCAGGGCTGGGCTCCTTACACCAGATAAGCAGACATCTGTGGTTGATTAGATGGAGTCCCATTCCTTCACTAACCTGTGTCCCATGCCAGTTGTAGCAAGTCACTGGTTTATCACTTATAGAAGAGTGACTGTGAGCTTATATCTATATGTTCTGTGCCAAGTTTTGTGCTGACAAGATCTCTCCCTGTGGACAATTCTGCAAACAGTTAACTGTGCACACGCACCATCAAACTAGCCTCAGAGAAGGTCTGGCAGCAAACTATTTCACAGTATGTATATAGGCTGTTTTTTCATCTCATTCCTACCCCACAAATTCAAAATTTTACTATCAGGAGGATTTTCCCTCCAATGATTTTATGCTTGAATGATTTGCGAGCCCATGGATTTAATGTAAGTGATAACACATAATATACCTCCAAAGCAATGGCCCTAACAGCCTGTCCCAAGAGGGGGCAGAGCATCCCCTGGAAAGAATGGGATGCTGTTACATAACTAGAGATTGTTTTGAAACACTTTGTTTGTGTCAAACAAAGGGGCTAAATTAAGACTGTACAGCAGCTTTCATTCCAGTGCTATGTTCTTCACTAATGAACTGCTTCGTGATATTTACACACTTTTCTTCTCCCCATGTGGAATTGCTGACTTCTGCCAGCTTTCAGTATTTCTAGACTAGCAGATGTGATAAATGAAAGGCACAGATCATAGAATTGTTTGGATTGCAAGGGGCCTTAAAGATCATCCAGTTCCAACCTCCCTATCACAGGCAGATATAGTCCACCAAATCAGGTTGCTCAAAACCCCGTTCATGTACACACAGGCAAGTACCTCTGGTAGGTGAATGCACCTAAATGAATTTAAGGGATATGTGCATGGTGTGATCTGTTTCACACTGGCTGTGCCACATTTCAGTGGATTAATTCCAGCTTCCCTCTTTTACGGAATTAAGGTGTTTTGCAGGCTGCTCTGGACTCAGGAGAAAGAGCTGGACGGCATTTACTCTGAGGCTGGAGTCTGAACATGAGTTACATATGGTTACAGCAACTATTCTCCCCCATCTTCTATATCTAGTTTAAAAAGAGCGTGTAATGGCTCAGGCAGTTCTTTCTACCCATACTTTTCCAGGTTATTTCTGGAGAAAAATATCAGATAAGACAGGAAGAAAAGTCCATGATCTCAGGTCACTGTGTGAAGCACAGCTGCCTTCAGGATTTTAAGGACGCCACACAGTGCTAACTGGAGAGCATCTAAGGTCAAGCTGTACATTACATCTATTTTAGAGTAGCAAATTCAGTGGTGTAAGAAAGTCCAATACGCACAGAAAGCCCAGCACACGACATGCAAAGCAGATACTGGTGTTTGATTTATTTGGCTTCCTTTTCCCTTGGGCTCAGTAGCTCAAGACAATTTCCTGAAGACTTGGTGAGCAGTTGCTGTAAATATGGCAAAAAGCCATGGTCCGCTAGCTTTTTACACAGGCTACAATGTTTGATCAAACAGCACAGGAGACTTGAGATCATGCAAAATAGCCAACAATTTACATTTGACTGATTTTGGACTAGACAAATAGATGCCAACCTAGTTTTATATAAACCTCAAATGTTATAAAACTCAAGCAGGA